CGATGCACGGCTCGAGATAAAAGAATTCAGACGGGACAACAATCCTACACATGTACAGCCTGGAAGCATGGCAGCCGAACGATGCGCGATGTGAAGGCTAAAGCTGCAAAAGAGCTTATTGGAGAAGAGTTTTAATTGAAAAGAGTGAAACAGCGCGCGACACTTTTCCACCGTTTACGCTCGGTGTTCGTTCCGATCTATCCTTTGTTGTTGTACGTGTCGTTGTACACCGATCGTTTCCTAAACGATAAAAGGGTATACATTGCGTAAAGGAGCCGATTAACAGGGTTTAAACAGAGAAGATAAACGAAATGAAAGAACGAAGAGAAACGGATGAATAGATTTATAGAGAGAAATGATTCGAAGAAAGAAAAAAAAAAAAAAGAAAAAGAAAATGAAGAAGAGAAAGAAAGGAGAAAAGATAGATAGATAGATAGATAGATAGATAGATAGAGAAGGAGATAGAACAGGCACTTGTGAGTAAAGCGCTTCTGCGATTATGTACGAAACGAAGAAGAAATTCTGTGAGTCTTAAATATATTTTGTATAAGCCATTCTCACCTTTTTTTCTTTTTTTTTTTTTTTTTATATATATATTGCTTCTTTTTATTCGTTATTATTTTTTTTTCTTTTCTTTTTTACATCGCGTTTTCACCGGCTATTTAATATTATTATTATTATTAATAACGCGGTTAAAGTCAAATGTGAAATGGCGTTAAAAGTGAGAGAGAAAGAGAAAGAAAGAGGAAAGAAAGAAATAAGAAGTAGACGCGTTAAAAGCAAATTAAGGTATATACGGTTATACAGGTATAACCTTCGATTATCGAGCATATATATATATATATATACTATAATAAAATGGATATATAAAAAGAGAGTGGAGCTTAGTGAAAAAAAATTAGTGGAGCAGAATGGAAACGATTCTCGATAAAGCTCGACCCATTCTTATCGGTTATCCCCATAATAAAATTCTCGGGATCGCATTCTTCTTCGTTCACATCTCAGGCTTTTATGGAAGAGAGGGGGGTCGATCTACGTTTTCGATATTCGCGGAGGATCGAGCTATCGGTTCGTCGAGTATGGTTCCCATACGTGAGGGAAAAACGTGAATGAAAAAGAAAAAAAGAAATGTATCGGAATAATGAAATAGTTTCGTGAAATGAAAAGAGAGAATGATAATCAAGGAAGAATAACGAGCTATCGATCGAGAGGATCGGATGAAAGAAATATGAAATAACTTCGAAGGAAAGTTGTTCGTTCGTTTCTTTCGACTTTATATCGGATTATGATAATCGTTGACACAATTGTATTCTTTGGCGTTCTTTTTTCTTTTTTTTATTTATTTTATTTTTCTTTACTTTTCGTTTGACTTTTAAGAAAATTTTAAGAAAAAAAAAAAAAAGACAAATCCTTGGCTTATCACCTAAAAACGTATGTATTTTCTCGTTGTACGATAATTGCGCATCCACGACGAGGCACGATTTGCACAATAATAAAATCGAAATAAGGAAAATGTGATAGACCAGAGATTGATGAAGCGATATATAATCGGGGGGGGAGTGGGGGGCGGGGG